GTTTACAAATAGGACTTTTGCTAATGGCATTTATATATACTACCTATAAAAAATTAAGCACCCATATTCAAACTATTACAAACAAAATTTCATATTGCTTAAAATAACTTTTTTTGTTAGGAAAAAGATGATCTCACAACAAATTCTTCCCATTTTATATGACTGTGATATTATTTCTCAAAATACTACAACTTCCATTCTCCAACCACCCAACGTTTATCTATAAGAGTCTGTGCAGATTCATTCGTTCATCTGTTTTCCTGACTATCTCAAACTGTTTTTAATTCCATTCAGATCCTCTTACAGTCACACTGATCAGATATTTTTGTTGTCCCAAAAGTCATAAAACAAATAGGAAAACATTTAAATATAAAGCTCCTTCTGATTGGAACAATCTTCTCTCAGCGATTTGTGCATTAACTTCTGTCCCTTCATTTAAAAATACTCTGGTTCAATATTTGCAGAACCCATGTTAATGTTTTTAATCATTTTGTTGAATTCTTGTTCATCTTGTTGTGATTATCTTTGAACTGTTTTTTGTTTAGTTTTTTTCCTCAAACTTGTTTTATTATATGTCAAACAGTCATGTGTGAGTGTGTGTTTGTGGGTGAGTGTGAATGTGTGTGTTTGTGGTTATGTTGATTTTGTTGTTTTGATGCTTTTATTGAATGTTTGTATCCTACTGTCTATCCTACTGTATCTGTCTTTTGTCGTTGTATTTATGAAGATCCCTCGAAAACGAGATGATGAAACATCTCAAGGGGCTTATTTTCCAAATAAATAAATAAATAAATAAAAATATTTGTATGGCATTAACACAAAAATATGACTACATGACTACTTTCTTATTGTGTCAATCAGCGGTTTCACAGTGAAAAGCAGTGTTTACCTCGTGCTGCGTGTCGACTCCCTGCCTCCACCCTTCAGTGATGTACAGCTCAGTGTAGGTCTGGTCCAGGACTTTATTGTTCTGCGTTCCTTCAGCTCCTTCTCTCACTTGCTCAAAACGCCTCCTCAGTGTGTCACGATGACCTGCAACAGTTCAGCCATTATATTTTAGAGGAACCCCTCGAAAACGAGATGGTGAGACATCTCAAGGGGGTTATCCTCCAAACATCCATCCATTTTCTTCCGCTTATCCGGGGTCGGGTCGTGGGGGCAGCAGTTTAAGCAAGGACTCCTAAACTTCTTTCACCCCAGACACGTCCTCCAGCTCCTCCGGGGGGACCCCAAGGTGTTCCCAGGCCAGCCCAGAGACATAGTCCCTCCAGCTTGTCCTGGGTCTTCCCCGGGGCCTCCTCCCGGTGGGACATGCCCGGAACACCTCCCAAGGGAGGCACCCAGGAGACATCCAGAACAGATGCCCGAGCCACCTCAGCTGGCTCCTCTCGATGTGGAGGAGCAGCGGCTCTACTCCGAGCTCCTCCCCCGTGACTGAGCTCCTCACCCTATCTCTAAGGGAATCTCTAAACTCATTTCGAGCGCTTGTATCCGCGATCTCGTCCTTTCGGTCATTACCCAGAGCTCATGACCATAGGTGAGAGTAGGAACGAAGACTGACCGGTAAATCGAGAGCTTCGCCTTTTGACTCAGTTTTGACCTCTGAGTGGACATCATCATATAGGGCTTATCCTCCAAACAAATAAAAAGTATTTTAAAGAAGACATGTTGTGCTTGTTTCCCAGTGAAAAAGGGACACCAAAGCCTATACTTCTTCCTCAAAAAAGCAGTTCTTGGCCCTTCTGTCCTGAAGGCCTTTTACAGGTGTGTGGTGGAGAACATCCTCACATCCAACATGACTGTGTGGTTCAGCAGCAGCACCACGGCAGAGAGGAAAGCTCTGCAGAGGGCAGTTAGAGCTGCTGAGCACATCTGTGGCTGTATCTGCCCTGCATTGATGACATTTCCATCAGCAGGTGCAGGACTAAAGCCCACCACATCATGGAAGACTCCACCATCCAGCACATGGACTTTTTACAGCTCAGGCAGAAGATTGCGCCACCTACAGGCCAGCACCACCAGACAAAGGAACAGCTTTTACTCTGATGCCATGAGATGGATCAATTCTGGCAGGAAGCCCAGACACTAATGCACCTTACAAATTAGCACTGACTTGGAACACACTTTAGAAAACGAGTCGGGTGGGGGCTGTTTTTAAAGACTCTATTTGACATATAATATTTTAACTATTTATTCTTATTATCTGTGCTGCTGTTGACCTGGACCTGAGTGCAGTATTTCGTTTCTGTGTATTTTTTTAATACTGGAATGACAAATAAATTCTGGTTCTGATTAAAAACTGTGTGCTGATGGGAGCAGACGTCGACACAAACGTCATCACAACAAAGCGCCGCATGTGGACAGCTGCACATCACACTAGAGCAGTTTTTTGTTTTTTTTTGAGAGGGATCTAACTGCAGGTCTCCACCCAGAGGACCCTCACATGACCCACCTCCATATCACAGTAAACAGTAAACAAACTGCACCGTGCCAAAAGAGCGAGTCCACTGTTTCCTATTTAACATTTAAGACAAGTCCAAAACATTTTCTTAACTTTAATTATTATATATTTGTGCCTAATCCCAAGGTAAACTCATGAAAAACGGTGAAGGACATGTAGGTGGTGGTGCGTCCTGGTGGAGGTTCTGCTGGGTAGGATCCTTAAGCTTCTTAGGTTCTTTTTAAAGACAATGCAGTAAAGTGTGTTTACCTTGTTGACATGTTTCGGCTGCTAGCTGCAAGCCATCTTCAGAACTGTCCCCGGTGTTGGTGGTGACGTGTCGTATATCAGCTGTTGTTACTTCCTGTAGGCGTGTATGATTTATTGCATGATTTGCACACCACCATACATCAGAGGTATAACCGAACCCATCCAGAGAGCCATGAAAAAACACAACATAAGCACCGTAGTAAAACCATACACAAAACTCCGCCAACAACTCGTACACCATAAGGACAAAATCCCACAAGAACAAAAATGCAATGCCATATACGAAATTCAATGCAAATCATGCAATAAATCATACATAGGGGAAACAGGCCGGGCATTTCACATCCGAAAAAAGGAACACCAAAAGGAATGTGAAAAGGAAACGTCAGGGAGACTCACCAGAACACAAAAAGACAAAGCAGAACAGGAAAACCTCAAATCCGCCATATCAGACACTGTAAAAGGAACAACCACATTATGGATTGGGACGGGGCTCGGGTCATTGGATCGGAAAACAACAAGTTCAAACGCTGGATCAAGGAGGCCACTGAAATCAGGAAACGAGGCACGGACAGCATTAACCGTGATGACGGCGCGTTCCTCCTTTCACACACCTGGGACACCCTCCTCCAGAGAACACCGGGCGACGGGAGGCGTGGTCAGTCTGAGCGACCTGCCAGGTCCATCAGGCTGACCACACCTACAGGAAGTAACAACAGCTGATATACGACACGTCACCACCAACACCAGGGACAGTTCTGAAGATGACTTGCAGCTAGCAGCCGAAACATGTCAACAAGGTAAACACACTTTACTGCATTGTCTTTAAAAAGAACCTAAGAAGTTTAAGTATATAAGAAGACAAAATGAACATCATTGGCTTGGGTAGGATCCTGTTGGGACTGGAAGACTACAGCCAGCCTCTCTTGGATTTTTATTTTTATTTTTTTTCTTATATGTTACGTGTTTCTTCTGGTTCTTTATGGTGGTGCAGGACTGGAGTTGATCAGAAGTATGGTATCCTGAAAATTAAGGCTTGCTCAAACATGCACAAATCACTCCAAATATCACTTCATGGGGTCAATGTTCAGTAAACAACTATAATACAATTTAAAGCCTATTACACAGAACTGAGTACTAGTGAGCTGTCGCCTCCTAGGACCTGGCGTCCACATACACTACCAGTCAAAAGTTTTAGAACACCACACTTTTTTTACTGTTTACTGTTGACCAAAGCGTATTCTAAACTTTAGACTCATGTGTGTGTCCACATTTGACAGATAGAACAGCTGAACACACTCGTGGCTTGTTCTTTTTACAATAAAAATCAAATATTGTTCAGAAAGTTCTTCCCAAGTCTGTTGCAGAAGTTTCCATAAATGTGTGGCACTTGTAGGTTGCTTTACTCTTCTGTCCAGTTCATCCCAAACCAGCTCCAGGTTTTCAAGTTTTACCATCTTGTTTGTACTGTTGACCCATTTAATACTTTGTTTGTGATAAAGTTGATTGCCGCCCTCTTGTGGATGCCTTTGGTTTTAAGTTTTGTTTTCTACGGCGCGTGCTCACTTTCAAGCGTGATCGGTTCACAGTCTGACAGAATACGTCTCTGTTTTCGGCCTTGGGGCATCTTTGTCCGTAAGTTCGGCTTGTTTTGTGTTATAATATTGTTTTCTTGTATTGTTATAAATATCTGAAGGTTGGAACAGTAGTTTTGACGCATTCGCTGTGTTGCTTATTGCTAGTTTCTTTTGCTAGCTCCATCCTGTGTTTGGGCTGGGAAGTGGGGCTTTTATTTTTGTCGTAACATGTACGATTTGTTAGTACACATTTTTTGTGTGTTTGTTGCAGTTTTACAACGTGAAAAAAAAAAGAAAAAGATAAAGAGACAAATGTGGAAATAAACATCCGTAAAGACAAGTCTTTTCCATATGGTCGTGTGGATTCTCTTTTTTGTGTGTTCGCTATCTGTCTAGCCCTGGTAGAGACGCCATCGTGAGGACAGAATATTGTTCTTTTTTCCTGAGGTAGTTTTGGCAGAGATTGGACTTCTTATCTTTTATCTTTTTTTATTTTTTTTTTTTTTTTTAACCTCTCTCTGTTCAGTTTTTACCTTTGTATCATTTCAAGCTCTTTATTGGACTTGCACGACTTCCATTGCAATAAATAACTAGAAAAACTGGAGTGTTCTAAAACTTTTGACTGGTAGTTTATGTGGACGTATATGTCCAACACTTTTTTGGATTGTTCAGGCACTTAATAAATAGTTTCTGCAAATTGTTATTCAGCTGGTTAGATTAGGTTAGGTTGCTTTATTCGTACCCGTAGGTAAATTTGCTTTGCAGATTTGAGAGACAGGTTCCACATTTCACATTTGATTCATCCACAAAACACGTATAAAAACACAATCACTAAATAAAGTGTTACAGTTGTGATTTTATTGTGTTCCATCAAAATGATTAAAACACAAAATGAATGTTTTATATAGCATATGTGGACATAAAAATATAAAAATATGAAAATATAATTTTGTTTTTGCACTCATCAGGTCCCAATCAGCCCAAATAACAAAGAGAATGAGTGAAGCCGTGCAAGAGTTCAGATCTTAGGAGGTTAAGCCATGTTAGAATGTTGTTACCTCATCAAAAACACACACCTGGAGTTGTGTTTTGTTTCATTACACATGAGTAATCATTTCATCGTCTATATCGAATGTCTATATCTGCAAAGTCCAAATGCTTTTTCCCACTTTCAAATGAAATAATAGTGTTCAGCGCCTTTTACATTTTGTTCGGTAGAAATTTGCAGTTTCAGGGCTAAAATTATCCACATGATTTTACTGAAGGTGTATGGAGTTTAATGTAATGTCCTGTATTACCAGGTGACATCACAAGGTGGAGAGTTTTCATTTAAGAACAGGGTTTGTGTGTTAAACATGTGTGACTGAAACAAAACATAAATCCAGGTGTGTCTGTGATGAGTGAACTACATCATAAGAGTAGATGACAGATGTGAAATCTTACTTTGTATAACTCTGTCTGCACTTGGTTCATGAGCACAGCTGCTGTACATCTCACTGTTCTGGACAGAGGAAGTAGCCGGCGCTCTGAAACACACAAGACACAAGATACAAGACACAAGACATAAGACATAACAGTTCTGTCCACACACACAGAGGGAGGATGCACACACTTACTGAAGGTCGACCTGAAGCACAGGCTCCTCCCTGAACTCAGGAGGGGATTCTTTTGACCGGTCACTCCACTCTGTACCACAAAAAGACTCCGCCTCCTTCGGCATGACAAGCTTCACTCTAGGAGATCTGGCGACATTAGGGACATAATATGTGTTTCATAATTTAAAGTGAATGTAATTAGAAGGATAAAACATCAAATAATGCACAAAATCTGGTATTTTCAAAGGACAGACACAAAAATGAGACAAACTAAATCAGATCTGAAAGACCAGAACAAGAAACACAAATGTTCAGATCATTTCATATTGTCACATAAAGCTTTGGTCACTTGTAAACTCACAGTGGGAAAAGTAACCACAACTTTTACTCAAGTAATAGTACTGTTACTTCAATGTATTACTCAAGTAGGAGTGAAGTACAATGTCTTTAAAAAGATAAGACTAAATGTAACTGAATATTACCCACCTCTATTTAGGGAATGCACTTTTTTTTTTCCTTTCCTTGTTAGATTTATTGGTGGTCAAGAGTCGATTAACTGATTCTGTTAATTCAGTGAGCGCTTTGATATTTCATATGTACTTTATATAAACCATGTTCCTACAGAGTCACTCGGGTTTTATTTCTGTTTATTTAAGGTGAACTCTTTTTCCACACAGAAATGTCTGAGTCGTCTGGGGGCACTGGTGCACCCTCTGGTGGTACAATTGTGCATTACTGGTGAATATAAAAATCAAAAGGCAAATTAGAAGCACCAGTTTAGCAAACAAAATGTTTTTACTGGGTCAAGCATCTAGTGCCAGATTAACCATGAACACTCTATTTGCAATAAAGAAAAACACTGAGTGTCTCTTGGACCAGGTAGAGATGAAAAGTAGAACAAATAGTTAAAGAAGTGCTCTTTGGTAAAAAAAAACAAAAAAAAAAAACATCAATGTACAAAAATACAGAATAGACACAGTCCTTTATTGATTATATCATGTCTTAACAAACCTTCAGCTCAGTGGGCTTCATCAGAGGGACAAACAAACTCAAAAATACCATGTGATATAACATACTGTACATGTGTTAAGGCTCCTCCACCTGCAGAGCTGGTGTTGGAAGTGAACTTATGTGAACAGAGACTAAAAACACCACTAGAGGGCAGTGTTAACCCCAGTGCCAAATGACCTGATTATAAAAACAATGTACTGCAAACAAATATAAAATAATATAAAAACGCATCAAGGTCAGTCTGTTGAAGTTTTAAGTCCATTTCCTTTATGCACTGTGTCCAGTGTTTGGTCTGTTTTTGTCATTGGGAAAGTCCAGAAGTGTTTGTTTTGTCTGTGTGTTCTTACAGTCTGTCTGTAGGCGCCTGTGGGTCATCCTCATGTAAAAAAAAATAAATAAACAAACAAATTTGCATTATTCACTGTGTTTATAATTGGGTCATTTAGCGCTGGGGTTAACACCAGTGTATTCAGAGCTTTTAACCTTGTTATAGTTGCTCCGCTCATCATTTACTCTCTCTTAAGTTGTATTTGGAGGGATTCATGTATGTTTGAGCAATCTTTAATCACTTATTTTTAAAATGCCATATTGCCAATCAGTTCCTGTTTTTTACGTCCATCGATACACACACACTTTGTTGTGATGATGGTTAGAGTGACGTCAGCTCCCACTGGGCACCGCTGTTTTCCAGTGCAGAAGTCAGTGAACATGTTTCTTATAATACGTGGTTTTAGATGAATATTATGATTTAAAATGTCCAAATGATAATGTAATGGTCGTAGATTAAACAATATAACAGACACAAGTGCAAAATGTGTTTTTTTTTTTGAGACACACCATAATCAGTAAAGGCATTTTAAATTAATGACACAGTGCGTTGTTTTATTTGTATTTTTGTAATCTATTTATAATATTGCCTTTGAAATATGGAGGAGGAGAGGAGCATCTCACCGCTCATGAGGTCCATCGTTAGAGAATAATGGAGGTGCATTTCTTGAACAACTGCTTAAACAGTCCCACTGCCGCCTGTTCTCAGTGACAACCGCCTGCAACAAACAGACACATACAGTTAAATGCATGTATATAAATGTGTTTAAATGAGTTATTCATCATTTATCAACATAATCACGTAAAAGCCCTGAGGATCAACAGCCACGGAGTAGAAGGAAGGAAGTCAGAGTATCAAAAAACCACAGCTGTACTCATTATTCTATGTTTTTAGTCAAACTTTCTGAATGATACAGTAAAGTTGAATTTAAAATAATTTTTATAGTTGTCTACTATGTTAATTGTTCATTGTTCCCTCATCAAAAACATGCCTGGAGAGGTTTTAGAGCAGGGGTGTCAAACTCATTTAGGTCCGGGGGCTGTATCCAACCTACTCTGATTCCAGAGGGACCGGATCAGAAAACTCATGTCATATAAACCCCCAAAATAAGTTCAAATATTTGTGCAGAGAAACACAAATCTATTACAGAAATCTTTTTTAATTGATGAAATCTTTCTTTTACAAAATATTATAATATTATAAATAACCTAAAACTTTAAGAAAAATTTAAATTTCAACACAATGTTTTAACATGAACTTGTCTACAAATAGGAATAAGTAAATTTTTGTTGTAAAATCCTGCACTCGGCTCCACTTTTCTCATGTTGGACATTTTTCTGATGAGGGTGTCACGGTCAACAGTCAAAACGATCGTCCTTTAAGAGCGTTTGGAAAGAGACAAGTCTTCATTTGTGCTGCTCTGGTGGGAGGGGCCACGTACAGAGACACTGGAGACGCTGCTGTGATAAACACCACACAAAATTAACAAGATTTTAGTAGAAAATATAATTAAAATATTTGAGTAGAAAATCAGCAGAGGGCCAGATTAAAGGTCTTGGAGGGCCAGATCTGACCTTATGTTTGACACCTGTGTCTTAAGCCATTGTTTCAGATTAGTTTTAAATGAACTGAATGTGGTGGAGTCTCTTCTAGCAGCTGGATGTTGGTCCAGATTTCTGTTCCTTGACTGAAAACACCTGTTGACTGAAAGTTGTGCGTCTATAGGGTTTTGCACAGTCTCCTCTGGTACAGGCTCTTTTTTCCCCGATCACTAGAGCTGGACTTGGTCTTAATGAACTCACCCAGAGCTGCTGGAGCGAGTCCATTTAAGACTTTGTAGACTGAGCAGGCGAGTTTTGAAATTTTTGAAAATTTCCAAAACCTAAAATATTATACTTCTGTAGTCTGAGACAATGATGAAAAGATGATTTCCTATCAAATATCTTTAACGCTTTTTTTTTAAAAAAAAGTGATTCTATTATTTTGAAGGTTGTCATGCTTGTCAGTGACCAGTTAATAATGCACTGGCAATGATGATGATCTAATTAGCCTAAAATTCTGAATATTAAGATTAACAATTTTTGATATGTATTTTACATGTTTTTTAAAAGTTAAAGTGGAGTCCAAGGTAACACCAAGATACTTAAAGATACTTGATTAAAAAAAAAAAAAAAAAACATGCATCCTTACTGTGAGTGGGCTTGCATTTCCATAAACCTGACTCTTATGTGACCTGAAGGGGGCCTGCTCCTGCTTGTTTCCATGGAATTTTTGTCCACGGCTGTAATATTCCACAGAATGGCATAAAACATAAACCATAAAACATATCTATCTCCACGGAGAATGTCCCACAGTATGGTTTTAACTTTCTATTTCCATGGAATCACACAGCTGACTTTCCACAACAAGGAAGTTGAGGAGAAAAATGCTCCTGCACTTCAACAAAGCCACTTGTTGTGTTGACAGACGTGTTTTTCAGATGAACTCCAAATGTGCTCCAGACAAATACAACTTGAGTCAAACATAATTAGTTTCATATTTGTGTCTTTTGTTTCAAACTGTGGCCTGTGCAGTGCCACGAATACAAATGAACAAATGAATCCATCTTAAGAAAATATTATTGTGTACTTCAGTAATCCTACTGTAATCCTAGAGGTACTTATCACAGGTACTTACACTCCGCCCACAAGTACTTTTCAGATAAAACTGCACAACTGGAAAGTACCTGAGGTTCTAAAAAAACGTTACCAACGTCACAGCAATAATCAACAAGGAGTAAACTCTGCCCCTGCAGCACGAGATCACACACACCTCACCCAAGGAGGAGGAGGAGGAGTAATAGTAGTAATAGTAGTAGCGGTAGTACTAGTAGTAGTAGTAGTAGTAGTAGTAGTAGTTGTAGTAGTAGTAATAGTTGTAATAGTAGTAATAGTAGCAGTAGTAGTTGTAGTAGTAGCAGTAGTAGTTGTAGTAGTGGTAGTAGTAGCAGTAGTAGTAGTTGTAGTAGTAGTTGTAGTAGTAGTAGTAGTAGTAGTAGTAGTAGTAGTAGTAGTAGTAGTAGTAGTAGTAGTAGTAGTAGTAGTAGTAGTAGTAGTAGTAGTAGTAGTAGTAGTAGTAGTAGTAGTAGTAGTAGTAGTAGTAGTAGTAGTAGTAGTAGTAGTAGTAGTAGTAGTAGTAGTAGTAGTAAACAGTAGTATAGAGTCTGGTGTCGTGTGTCACAGTGAAGTTGTCAGACTCTGTGGTATGGAACAGTAAACTGTAGAAGTACATGGATTTATTGGTACATATATTTTCTTTCTCTATGTCACTGAACACATTCCAACATGTGCTGTTATTTCTGTGGTCCTCTGTATTTCCTCTCATCCTCTCCTTTCTTCACTAGCCACACTACATCTGCTAAAAACTACAAAATCCTACTGACACAAACAGCAAAACATGAGCAAAACATGCATTCTCTTACCATACTGCTGCTGCTGCTGCTGCTGCTGCTGCTGCTGCTGCTGCTGCTGCTGCTGCTGCTGCTGCTGCTGCTGCTGCTGCTCTGTGTGAGTGTAGCTCAGTGTGAGTGAGCTGTGTGTATGCAGCTGTGTGTGAGTGTGTATCTGTGTGTGAGTGTGTAGCTGTGTGTGAGTGTGTAGCTGTGTGTGAGTGTGCAGCTGTGTGTGAGTGTGCAGCTGTGTGTGAGTGTGTATCTGTTTGTGAGCATGTGGCTCTGTGTGTGAGTGTAGGAGCACTTCACTTTCACTTTTGTTTCCTGCACAGAGCTGTGGTGTGGGGTGGAGTGGGGTGGAGTGGGGTGGAGTGAGGTGGTGTGTTGTTTGCGCTGACGTGGTGACGTTGTGTTGGCAGGTTTCAGATTATATCCTGTATTCTGTGTCCTGTGGTTTGTATGTGGAACAGGTTAGACAACTACTAACAATAATAATAATGCATCTGTTTTATACAGCACTTTTTGGACACTCAAAGACACTTTACAGAACATTATTCATTCACTCCAGACCTGGTGATGAAACCAAGGCTGCTAATCTGCGCCATCGGCTCCTCCGACCAGCACCATCACTCACACACACACACACACCACTTTCATACTAGATAATGCAGGTGAAGTGTCTTGCCTAAAGACACAATGACAGTTTTTGCGACTAGCACCTCCTGTGGCACCTGATCTTCTAAAGCTTTTTTCCAAGTCCTGACCAGGCCCGACTCTGCTGAGATTCTGAGATCTGACGAGATCAGGCTTTGACAAACTGGTAAGGTCACAAACTACTACTGTGGCAGATTTGTTTGTTTATTTTTTTGCACTTTGAAGCAGCAGCTCTGCATCATTATACTGTATAATGACAATAAAGTCTTTCTATTCTATTCTGTTCTACTTTAAAAGGCCCATTCTAGCAAAAAATATGGACAATTGTGTGTTCTGGGGATAAGAAAGACGTCTGTGTTTTTCTGGACTGAACAAAGCTGCTCTGACACGTCACCCAAACAGCCTGGTGTACTCCACTTTCAAAAAGGGAAATTCCAAACTGAAAACGTGTACAACTCAAATCAAGAGTACAAATCAATATTCCCTCTGTGAGTTTAGTAAAGACTTCTCAGAACTTTTACTGTTTCAAAAATATGTGCAATTTTGTCCGGTTTTACAAACGCCTTATTTTTATATGAAAACATAACATGATGAAAAACTTTAAATATATTTTTCTTACTTTTATGGAAGTAAACTACAGAAGAAGTTTAAAGGTCATTTCTAAGAAGAGAAGTGTTTTCCTGTTCACCTGTAGCGTCTCGTTATCTTTCAGGCAGTTCTCTGACCGTCTAAAGTACAAACTGTGGACTCATTTTCCTCTGATCTGAAGCGCAGACTGTTCATGCCCGAGAAGCTCACATGTTCATGTTTGAAATGTGCATAGTTTCTGTCTTGTAATCTCCAACACTTTTGCACAGTTTTTAGTATTTCTCTTCTGGGCTCAGCTTCTCAGAGCCCCGTGTGAACAGGCATCCAAATTACCACATGTACTTTAAAACAGATCTGCTGAGCTAAATGGACTCAAAGCTTTTAACCATGTTACAAACATTTCCTCCTCTCAATCAAGTAATATTTGGAGTGAATCATGCTTGTTTGAGCAACTTTAATCACTCGACTGACTTTAATCACCAGAATAAACCTGTGGCTCCAGAGTCTGAACCTGCAGACAGAGACACATCCAAGTTTGTCTCATTCTCAGTTTATGGACAGAACAGGTCTCATGTGAAGCTCAGAACCTCCAGAATTCCCTCCCTGAGCTGCAGAGGCTGCACTAGCACTGACTCAGGACTGGTGCAGGGTTTAGGGAGAGACAATTCAGATCAGAGTGGTATTTTATATTTCAATTCTCATATAACACTATTTTCTGATCTATGTTCTAATGTAGTTTCCTTATCACAAACAGACCTGGAGTTGTGTTTTGTTTCATTCACACATGTTTAACACACAAACCCCAGAGTACTTCTATCAAACAGGAAACACTCTGTTCCACCTTGTGATGTCAGGAAATGCTCTACCGCAGGGGTGCGCAATAGGTCGTGTGGGTAGATCGCCGTGTCTCGTCTCAGACTTGATCGCGTTTGGACTCGGTCTTGTCTCTCACTCGAGGTCTTGTCTCTCAACAAGTGTGATCATATTTCATTCCGGCCGCTGCTGTTGGTAATAAACTTGTGTAGCGGGTGCAGGAGTGTGTGGGGCGTCTCAGTGCAGCCTGTGCGCTCATTTGAAACCCGCGGAGACTCTACGGCGCATCACAAAACACACACGCTCCCTATGCACGGCTCGTCTGCAACAGCGTGTGCCCTCGTGTACCAGCGTGCATCACAGGGCAGGTTCAACTTCCTAAACATCCTACCTGTCCATCTGCCTCACGTCAGCACGCCGCCCCTCGCCTTTTCACGCTCTCGCTCCTTCCTGCGTACAGCGAACACAAGCCCCTCCCACAGTGCGGCTGATTAGAAGAGCAAGACCAAACGTGAAGCAAAAAACCAGTCTAAATTTGTGTTCCAGTGTTGGCACAAAGCAGGTCTACAGCATAGAGCGGATCTACAGAACAGACCTACTTCTGCATTTGGCTGAAGTTTGAGTAACAAAAGTGCACAAATGCATCTGTGTTTGTCACGATGTGTGTTTGGTTTGGTAAACGTGCAGAGGCTGGTAAATATCACTGCAAAACCAGAAAAGAATGAAACTCCAGTTTGGAACTTTAAAAAACAGGTTTAAAAATCTTCCTTCACTTTTTTCACAGTTTTGTGTAAAGTGCCAGAGGAAGTTCTCTTAAAGAAGAGGTTCTCAAACTGTGGGTGAGGGTCCAAAAAAGGGGCACAGAGTGTTTCAGTGCAGTTTGTTTGGCTTTGTATTAGGTAGATCTTTATGACTTGGTCATTTTGTAAGTAGCTCACATGCTGAAAAAGTGTGAACACCCTGGTCTATCATGTTTATTGTGACACACACTTTCACTAGAATCATTTAGATAATTTCAGATCTGGAATTACCAATCTCTACGGAACTAAAGGTAACAGTTAAACTTGAAAACTGCAACTACATGACATCACAAGGTGGAACAGAGCATTTGGAGCTTTGGAGATGTAGACAGACTAATAATAAAGAGTTACTCCCTCATGTGTGTGGCGGACAGCAGGGGGCGCGCTTACTTTTTAGATTTACCTGACTTTAACGCCCTGTGCCAGCAGAAGTCAATCAAAGCCTCACAGTCCCAACTTCTGCTGGTGTCAGGTAAGATTTGAACCACCTCCTTCCTTTTAATTATTTCAGCTCTTTTAAACTTTTAATAGGTCTTAACTATTGTTTCAGAGCTAAAGTTAAACCAGAGGCAGACCTTTTCCACCGAGTATTGGAGATTTTGAGGTAGGACAGAGTTTTTAAATCAGGGTTTTAACATAGTTTTAATCCTTTTTTTTCTTAAACTCTTGTCTGTTCTTTTATCGCAGGATTGGTCTGCTACTGTTTTGTTTTGTTGTGTTTTTAGGTTGTGTTGTTGAGTTCTTTTTGGTTCGATTTGTTTTATCCTGTTCGTTCAAAAGTGATATCATATATTTTAGCTCTACTGCATCTTAAATAAATGTGTTTTTTATCGTTGTCGTCCCTGGGCTTTTAACTTTAGTTCAGTTTAAGTTCCCTGGTCGTACTTGGGAGGGGTTTGGCCTATACCTTTGTGTTTGCATTTTGGGTTTTTAAGTAATTTTGTTGTGACTGTGTAGTAGCACTTTCCGTTTTGTTCTGGGTGAGGCTGCCCCCTTTCAAATTCTCCTTGTTTGGTTGGTTAACATTAATTTCTGTTTTCAGGAGTTGGTTCCTCTACCCAAGGACCACAAGGTTTTATTCAAATTTTAGTAGTAGTAGTAGTATTTTATTAATATTGGACATTTTATTGTTTTACCCAAAGCCTGGCTCTTTTGTAGGAATAAATTATTGTATTTTTCAGACTTTTTTCATGGTTTGGGTGTTTCCTGTGACTTATACTCCGGTGTGACTTATTAAAATTTTTACATGGACAGCTGCGAAAAGTTCTAGGCTCATGTGTCAGTGTCTGCTGTCACTTCACACTGCACATGTCTCCAGCTGCAAGTAGTGAAATATGCAGCCAAAACGGCAATCGTGCAGCAGAAAGAAAGTTTGGAGTGAGCGGAAAACTTGTGAGGAACTGGTGGAATGCGGGGATGGAGAACACAGCTTCACATTAACCGAGAGGATGCATCATGAAACTTTCCTGAAGTCACTGGATGGATGGACAAAGT